AGAAAACAACAATGCTGTGGGAAACAATGGCTGGATCTCAGTAGAGATACAAAAATAATAAGCAACAGCTAAAAAGTGAACGTAAGTAAACAGCCAGAAATAGAACCATATATATATATATATATATATATATATATATATTGCTAGATCAGTAAGTCAAGGGTATATTTGAAACTACAACTAAACTTGTCTTAAGTTGAAGATAATTAATAACAATCTGGTTTTATGTCATTCTCTATAATATGATTTCGGGTAATACAATGTATTTTATTTCCAAATGTGACTAGACCTATAATTATAATCATTATAATCATCAGTATTAGTTATATTTCAAACTTATCGGTGAACCCCACGGTACCAGATCATTTGGTAAAGCCATCCAATCTGGCTGAAGTTTATCTTTAACGACACCAACTTCAAACTTAACAATTCCATGTCGATTATTAATAGACGATAGAGTACGTCCTGTTGGTAAACCATCCGAATCGTAGGCTTTATTAATGACGTCATTGTTAGTTTCAATAGCGTGCAGCATACTTTGGTCTATGTGTAGTTGGTTAACAAAATGGCCCTGCCATGACACTCTAATCTGACAAAATAGTTTTTAAAAAAAAGAATTATATAGGAAAGTACCATCATCTCATTATCATCAATGTACTTTCCGCCATGACCATAATCATGCTAATCCAATCAACATCATCATCACATCTATGTCATCATAGATGTGATGATGATGTGATGATGATGTATCATTACCATCATCCTCATCTATATCATTAATATTAAGTTCATCATCACCAACAACTTTTGTTTCCCTTATTACACTGATTATCATTATCGTTATAATTATCATCAAACGTCTATAATCATCATCATAGTTATGGTACCATCATAATCACCATTGTCGTGACTACCATTATTAATTTATTATTATTGTTAGTATTAGTATTATTGTATTATTATTATTATTATTATTATTATTATTATTATTATAAAAATCATTTTCAATACTTATAAAACCGTACAATTTTATCAGTAGATGTCCATGCATCGGATTCTAGAAGATTAAGCTTTTCTCCATCAACCACTAGCTCCATAGGTTTATCGTCTACGATCGAAATTTCACTTTGGTCATCAAAAACAAGGCAACGTCGAGCATGGCGAACGTTGCCGGCAAAGTCACTAACGGTCAACAGGGTACAGTATACACCTATTTTATGAAAACAATTGTTCAATTACTTAGGTCTTGTAAATTAAACTTCATTTCACAGTTGGATAATACTAATTATGATCTTAAGACTGCTGCAATACTATGCTAGTATTATGTAGTTTTGATAATGACACAAAAACAAAACAATATCTGTTTCTATATGGATATTCTTGATAGCTATTACAGCAAATTTCCGCATGATACAATGTGCCATTATTTATTTAATTATCATTATAATTTTTTATTATTGGCATCACTCACTGGTGCTGCTCTACAGACAACTTAGAAATTACTTATACACGAAGTCTGTCACCAATTCCAACACCTGTCGTCTATCAAACCATGGGTGGCTAGTCATAACCAGCTAAATAAAGTAATAAAACCTCAGCAAAAATACATTAAAAATATTGATAACGATAATGGTCTACCTGGAGATGTTAGTTCGAAGTCTGCCTCATAATAATTTCCAATTTTCAAATGATAAAGACTGTAACAAGTGCCATTAAAAGAAAGCACGTCATTATTCTCAACCATTTTGCAAATTCTGCAGTCATAAGACGTTGCTGTCAATCCTGAAATATGGTCCACCCATGTTGACCACTTAACCTTCTGCTCACTCTGTATATTATCAGAGTAATAAAAATTATCTTTTCAAAGAAAGTATGAATATGCTTTGTAGAGTATGAAGTGTTTTTTACTTAGCGTAAAATTCGTTTATTTTTCATGCATTTGGTTTGTGTACAAGATGTTGTTGCTATGTACTATTTATTCATCTGTGTAATGTTTTGCTTAGGACTCGAGGTATACAAAATTTAACACATTCAGTTACCACCGAACCAGTTCGTCAACCCCTACTTTGAGAATGATTGGGTAGAAAATACCAGATACTAAAACAGGACTACAATCAATCAATCAATCCAATTAAATCAACTAAATCAATTACATTTTTTAGTTATTGTAATGACACTAAATTTGATTCTCAATAAATAATATATTGTGAAATATATATTTATCTTAACCTCACCGAGGTAGTGTATGGATCACCGATGTCAAGTGCATATCCAATGCAAGTCGTGTCACTTGTGACATTAACAGAACAGTGAGTTGGCGCCTCATTGTCGACAGTTACGGTCAAATATCTTGTTACAGTTTTACCCTCGTAGTACACGGGCTCACGGATTGTCCCGACCATTGAATAATCGTAGTTGTTCAGTCTAATAAACCCTCCATTCGTTGAAGAAGCTGTTATTATTAACCTGAAAATTACATTTTATAATTAATATTGGTAAAGGAATCAATGCACTAATTTCAAATTTAATCAACACTTCAGGCAATAAATCATTCTCGTATTCAGGTATTAACTGGAAATGTTAATTATTTTTATTTACAATAAAAAAAATTACATCTTTATAAATTCTATCTATATTATTTTAATAATTTGTAAACCGAGTGACAATTTACATAAAGTATTATAATCATTTTTTTTTTTATTTCTAAGGACAGAAGGTCAACTTATTTTCAGAGACTCTTCAGTGAAAATATAATAATGCGATGCTTTTAAACTCTTTATGAAGATTAACATATTAAATTAGAGAGTGGCATAATTAGAATTGAGGACGTAACCGTCAATATTGACACATTAAAAACATAAGTTAATTATCACATACATCACAGCACATATATAGCGCTATTTCATGGAGATCAGAGCGCTTGAAACGTGTAACTAATGCAAATTTTTTGCACAAGATAAAATAGATTATTTGGTAAATAATGTTGGGGGTTTCTTTATGGCATTAGCTTTGTAGTGTAGAATAGGTCCAAATTATTATGAAGTTAAACATTTCGCGATTTCTAAAAGTCATGCAGTATTAGCATTATACCGACTGTTTAAGACGCCAGGTTCTGGTGTTTTTTTTTCATCAATAACCATTTCAATTTAGTTTTCATTGTTAATAAAATGTTGGTGTAGGACTACTAAAGAACAATGGTCATAAAAATTTAAAAAAAGACATACTGTAGTTACGTTTAAGTTCATGTTCATCTTACTTCTTTAAAAAGTTAAATAAAAAATCTACTATTATTTGATTCTAAAAATATGATTTACATTTGCTGTATAAAATTGTATATCTTGAACAAAACTATCTATAGGCCTATTTGTCAAATTTTCCCCATTTTAATGAGGGCTGAAAAAATGCTGTAATATATTAGTTGAATCTTACTTGTCGTTGTTTTGAAGATTGTCCATTAATTGTTCATATCGTGTACAAACATGTGTGTCCGGATTTGGGTCGTCTTCATTGTGGTTTAAACTACAATCAATTTCTCCAGAATATATTGTAATGTCACCTATCAACCACAATTATAGAGATAATTATTAAACTGTCTTGTTAAAAAATTTACACTGAAAGAAAAATATAAGTGTTTGATTATTTGAATATCAGAGTTGAGGGTCTTCGATTCCCATACTGAATATTAATGGATGCTTTAATGCTATCAAATATGTACATCAATATTATTTTTCCAAAAACTCCATAATTCGAGAAAACTTAAGCCTGTTCTGTTTGTGACAGACAAAAGGTAAATAAATAATGAAGAGAAATGAATACACGTTTAAAGCATTTTATTTTCCATTCTCTACGAACAGGTAATGGCCAACCATCGTTACTGTAATCAAATCATAATACAACAATTTAAAAACAAAACTGTTAAATTACGAAACTATTATTTAATTAAGACGATACATGCATCTTATATTTTGTTTATATTATATTGGGCTTCTAGATAGACATGTGCAATGGGAACTATGAGATTAATCATACGTGAAAGCAATGTCCCACAAAAGGACAGTGTGAAAACCTACGGTACGCAAACACGTTCGTCTGTGGGACAACACGTGTGTTTGTAAGACAAACGCTTATTCCTGGCCCTGGTCAATTGTTAAATTTGATTGACACTCCGAAACAGTCTATACGAAACTATTATTTAATTAAGACGATACATGCATCTTATATTTTGTTTATATTATATTGGGCTTCTAGATAGACATGCGCAATGGGAACTATGAGATTAATCATACGTGAAAGCAATGTCCCACAAAAGGACAGTGTGAAAACCTACGGTACGCAAACACGTTCGTCTGTGGGACAACACGTGTGTTTGTAAGACAAACGCTTATTCCTGGCCCTGGTCAATTGTTAAATTTGATTGACACTCCGAAACAGTCTATTAATAATGGAGATCTGTTAGCTAATTATAACTTCTGTATAAAATTATCCGATCAACTTACGCCACCCTGACACTTGCACGACTTTTGTTCCTCCTTGGTGGTACGCAGCGGAGCGTGAATCCGTGTTCGCGCACTGTACACGTAAGTTACGCACTGTCTACGCAATGGCACTACTTTTTTACGCATAGGTTAAAGCTCTGTTCAGACACAACGACTTATGCCATCCTGACACTTGCACGATTTTCGTTCCCGCACTGGCGCGCACTTCGGCGTGTCAATGATTAAAGTCTTCAGGAACGAGCGTGAGGAGTACGTCAAGGGTGCGGGGGTGCGCGCCATGTCGTAGAGAGAATTTTAAAATGTTCAAAAATTCGGCACGTATCAATGTTCATGCCATATGCGTGAAACATGCATGAACACTGCGCGAACTCGGCGCGAACACTGCCGACGGTGCGTGTCAATTAAGAATGCTCTTCCTCTTTCTTCCTTTTCTCCTGCTCTCTTCAAGAAAGTAATAGCCAGCAGTTGCCAGATATAGACACCTTCTCTGTTCTGCAATAACACTGTCTCTGGGATTCAGCATAATATTGTATCGTCCATAGCGAGTCGAAGAAAAACCTACGCTGTGTATAGCGTGCCGCCAAGCGGGACAAAGCCTGACCAAAAATTGCCACGGTACAGTAGAAGTGAGCAATGGGCGAACAATACTTAACCTATGCGTAAACAAGTAGTGCCATTGCGTGTCAATACGTGTGAACACAGTACATTTTTGACACGCATTGCGTACACAGTGCGTAACTTTTACGTGTACAGTGGGCAAACAGGCCGTCTGCAGCGTACCAGCGAAATGGCACGTCTTGCCACGACGCATTGCGGGGACAAAAATCGTGCTAGTGTCAGGGTGGCTTTACGCTAGCGCATCGTTAATCGAGTGGTGTGAACTTGGGCGCGGCGTAGTGAACGCCAGTAATATCGCGCAATCACTGGCATACGGTAATTTAGAAACAGACACCAGATTAGATACGCCACTGATTTACGACTGTCAAGCATCCGTGATTTTGAACTCAGCCAGGATTTGACCAATCAAAATAAGCCTAGATGTAAAAATAAAATGCGCAAATTACGAATACGAATATTTCGCACGAATACTTAAGCTAGCGTTTGTTAATCGCCCAGTCTGGACATCTCGCTAGTTACGCCACTGATTAACGCACGCCCGGCATTAGATATGCCTGGTGTATCTCCCAGGTCTGAACGTAGCCTAAACCTTTGTGAGGCATCCACTGTTTTAAAGCTCGGTCCTGATTATCAAATTTTCGTTGATGAAAAACTGTTCTATGCCCATATGGTCTTGATATGCCTATATATGGTCATGATGCAAGCATCCGTGATTTTGAACTCAGCCAGGATTTGACCAATCAAAATAAGCCTAGATGTAAAAATAAAATGCGCAAATTACGAATACGAATATTTCGCACGAATACTTAAGCTAGCGTTTGTTAATCGCCCAGTCTGGACATCTCGCTAGTTACGCCATGGATTAACGTACGCCCGGCGTTAGATACGCCTGGCGTATATCTCAGGTCTGAACGTAGCCTATGAGTATTCTTCGCGCATTGCATACCGCATTTGTCCTGACGACTTCGCGCATACGTGAAGAGTAATTTGCGTTGTTAAGGGTTGACGTCGCTATAACTTTTGAAAACTGCAGAAACAGTCGTGTCTAGTGGTTAGAGATGGTTTGAAAAAATTTCCTACGTTAAATTTAACTTTTAATGTGAGAGTGCCCTTTCCGACCATTTAGAGGTGGGTGGACATTCCATTTGACACAGTTGGAGTAGGCCTATCATTTCCGGCCTACTATAGAAGGGTAATTTTTATCCATCGGGGGGAAAGTGAAGGTTTCGTCGGAGACTGCCCATACCAATGATACCCCTCATGATTCAAAATTCATTGAGATCGTGGAAGCAATCTCGACTTCGACTCTGTTTGGAAATCAGTGGCGGATTAAAGGGGCTGGGGCCTAAATTTAAGTCTGGGAGTACCATTTCCGGCCATCTAGAGGTGACATGATCACAAATGTTCTTACCTCAGCCCCAAGCATGGTGGGGCTGTGGTATAGATCTATCTGCGAAAGTACTCAGTGGTGGATTCAATGGGGCCCAGTAGGCCCGCCCCCAAAAATGGAGATATAAAGAAAATCATATTTAAATTTTGTCTGAAGTGAAATTTCAAGGCCATCTAGATGCCATAATCACAAATTTTCTTACCTCAGCCTCAGCCATGGTGGGTCTCAGGTAGTAGATCCTCTATCTGTCAAAGTATCCCCTCCCCCGGGCCCCCTCTAGGCCTATTTCGAATTCCTGGATCATTTCGTTAAGTACAAATTTTCGTTGAGTACTATTTTCATTCGACTGGTTCGTAAAATAGACTTCGTTAACAACGAAAATTAACTTAACCAGAATGCGTTAATCAGCGTTAAGTTACGCATGTGACCAAAACAAACATGACCGATTGGTCAGTTTAGCAACAACATTTTGCGTTAATATAATTTGGATGAAATTAATTTCAGAAAATAAAAATTATAATATATACCCATATTGAAGTAAAAAAATAATTGTAGCCTAACAGAATTCAAAAACTGGATGAAAACATTTTTTCACAAAAAAACCATACTGCCACAATCCGAGGCAGCCATGATTTCGCAGCGTGTATCGCGGTAACTATGCAGCCATTTTGTTTTGTCGAGTATTTACCAGTTTTCTATTCGACTGGTCGTCTTCGTAAAGTAGGATTTTACCACTGCGTGCAGGTGGGCGTGGTTTAACGAAGAACAACCACTCGAATACCGTCAATAATAAAGGCGCCGCTTAGGTTCGTTTGTTTCCTGTAGTTTCTCCACTTAGTCAAATGTCAACTTTTACCCCGCACACTGGAGGGTGGTGTTTCATCAATTTTAATGAAAATATGCGGAACAGCTCATTTCTGCCCTGTTTCTGCTATTGAAGTCCTTTGCTTTAATCATTGACACGCCGAAGTGCGGGCCGCGATTTTTTTTTCCGTACGAAACATTTACATGAAACTCCACTCGGGCCGTCTCGGCTAAATCGACCCGAAAATCTCAATGCAGAATTCAGGAGGTCAAAAGGTCATCAATAGATAAACGTCTGCAGAACAACTTCTAAGAGAACGTCGCTGTCTAATTTTTAAAAATACATTGATGTTACCATGTTAATACCAATGGGTCGCTTAAAAGGACATATAATATTTGATTAAGCTGCACGAGTAATGAAAAGTGTTATTTTAACTTGAGTTACATGACAATTTTAATTTTTTAGTTAGGCCTGGGTTTTGCATAATTACCTGGTCTACTAAAAACGCTTTCTGGGAAAAGCACAAAGAGTAAGGAAAAGCGCATTTTTCTTCATCTGATCAAATGAAACAGAATGACAGTTATGTTCAAATTAAGAGAAGAGCTGAGAATAGGCAGCTCTAAAATACTGGGATGCCATAAGACCTGCCAAAATGGCAAAACATCAAATGAA